CCAGTGGCTTGAAAATGTGTCCAGTTGAATTATGAAGGACAAGCAGCTTAACTGGAATGTCACTTTTGCAGATGAAGTTGGTTCCAAGCCATATGAGGCACCAGCAAATTGGCAGACTTCAGTTACCCTCTTTCCTTGCCAGCATGCATGCTGTATTTCCGAACTACCCTGACAAGCAGGGCTGTTTCTAGGCATAGGCGAGCTAGGCGGTCGCGTAGGGCGCCACCAGCTGAAGGGGCGCCAATGAGCGCACGTACTGGCACTTTTAGCAGGGTTGTGATAAAGAGTGGCACGGTCACCCTGAAATATGACTGCCGCCCCCACTGGATCGCCCAACATTATTGGGCTAAAGTACTGTCAATCTGACGATGCCTGTATGCCACTGGATCAGAGCGCTATCAATTGCTGCCTGATTGTTGCATGCAAAGTTTGCATTGGAGCGCTCAACACCGTTAGATCAGTGGGCTCTGTCAGTGCTTTGGCAAGGTAACACTTTTTTTGCCATGCAATAAAGCTAAGTTCAAAGGCCAATTTAAAATATTGGTACAGTAAATAAAGTGCACAAAATCAGTATTTTGTTTAGGCAGTATTTGTGACACTTTTGTGGCACATTTGTCAAAATATTTGTGGCAGATTTGTCCAAAAAGGTGTGCGTTTTTTGCACCAATGCATTGTTAAAGGATCAGCGTGTCATGTAATATAAACTTTAACATCCAATTAAAAAAAAATGTGTATAGTAAAATTCGCTAATTCACGAGGGGGACGCGCGCGCAATAGGGATTTCGCCTAGGGCGTCAAATTGGCTAGAAACAGCCCTGCCAACAGCGTATGCTGTTCTGTGTCAGCTGCACCACACACTCTCCAAAATGGTGCTACGGGTTTGGAACGACATGATTTAAAAAAAACCACAGCAGTCTCACCTCATTGCTGGGTAGACTGGCCACAGAGAAAATGGGCCAAATTTTTTGGCAATACTGTTCATGACATCAATGGCAGAGATGCCGGTCTGGATCATTTCCTCAGGATAAATACAACACTGAGGATTAATCGGCTGACCTATAGGAAGCAGGAGGAAATTGAATGGTACACATTATCAATAATCAAAAATGCCACTGATGACAATTTGTGAGCATAATTTAAGTGCCTCACTGTCCAAGTAGTCCTCTGCCAGCACCACAGACCCTCAATCAATCTGCTTTCCTGAGCCATAGATGCAAACCAAAAGATAACATTAGCATGAGGCAAAACAAAATTTAAAAGTTAAAGTATTAGAAAATGGATAGTTAAGACTTAAATTCTGACTGAATGAGCTGCTTAAGATAATCATTCTATAATAGTGGATATATGCAGACCTGTGACTGCTCATCATTTTGTCCTAAATCTACTGTGGTGTAAATAACATTTTCTACTGGATGACATATCGCTGCTGCTGCACAATCATAGTCTATTATCACAACCAGGCCTGCCTACACATTAGTTATTACATAGATCAGTGGTTCTCAAACCTCTCCATGAAGTACCCCAAGCACTACACATTTTGTATGTCTCCCTATATCTGACACACCCACTTCAGGTCTTGCAGTCTCCACTAATGAGCTAATGAGTTGATTCTGGTGTGATAGATGAGGTAGACATACAAAATGTGTAGGTCTGGGGGTACTCCAGGACAGGTTTGAGAACCACTGACAGAGGCTGCGTTTACACTTGGCATTAACATGCGACCTGTATCCGGATGTTAGAAGTCAGCTGATGTTGCCAAGTATAAACACGCCTTGTCCTGATTGACTGATGATCCGATCTGCTTGATCAGATCACGGCGATCGCATGTTAATACCAAGTGTAAACGCAGCCATAAATTATCTTATATAAAAGCTACTGGGCTACTGCTTTTACGAGTCATACATTTCTTCATGTGAAGAGTTCAGATGCAAAAGCCTTTAAGTACCGTTTGAAATTCTTAAAATTAGCATTTTTATCAGGCTCCCATATGTAGGTTCACTAATCTCACTTTAATGGCAATAAATCGTTTTTTTTTTTTTTTTTTTTAAATTTGCCTTTAAAGTAAAATAACTGAACGAACACAGGAGCCTGAGAAAAATGCTCATTTTAGAAGAAAATGTCAGACGGCACTTAAAGGCTTATGCATCTAAACTCATGTGATGCACTGATGAAAATATGAGGCGGATACAGATCACTGATATTTGAATATCACAATTAAACCTATAGCAATATCACATTTATTTTAAACTATGCCCAAGCCACACATTTAAAAAAAAATTTAAAAAAAGTTAGTGACATAGTTCTGTTATTACAATCAGTAACAAGTATTTGGCAGTCACTTTGCGAAGGAATACTATGCACCTGCACACATGCATTCCTATAGTCTGAATAATTCCTATACGCCCCCCCCCTCCCCAAGTGGGCATCATGTTAAAACACCCTTGGTCAGTGTATACACTGAAGTCATCAGAAACCAAGTGCCACTTTTCAAACCCTTCAGCATATTAAACCAAACATTCGTGGGAAAGCAGTTTAACCACTTCGTGGCACCCTTTAACACTTACAGTAACTAAACTACAAAGTACCACCATCCTTTAAAAACTGTAACTTTAAATATATAAAGCCAAAAGACACCAAGAAAACTGCTTTGAAAGATTTACTGGGGTTTCAGTTCTGGAAGACATTTACATCATGTGGCAGTTTACCAGAGTCTTTTATCCCTTGACTGAGTAGAAGTGGCTTGAAGAAGAGCTGCGGGATAGAGCAGGAGCATTCTGGTTGTTCATTGAACTGTAGCTACTCAAGACCTCAGAAGCTGAAGGACTGGATGTACCTTGCCCAGAAACACTTGGATCATAAGGCAAGAGCTGGGACCCAGGGGTATACTTGGTAGAGAGGCTTTGAGATTGGACAGAGCCACTATAACTGGTGCTACCCCCCTGTGCAAAAACAAACGGACCAGAAACTCTTGAAGAGGAGCCTCCTGCAGATGACAGGGAAGAGAACTGCATTGGAGAGCTTTGAGATGAACTGCCCTGCAATACAGCTGCATCTGAAGGCTGAATACCTTGTGTCCAACGAGTGGATGAAGGCTGCCATCTTGGAGACTTCTGGCCTTGGGACACAGAAAAGCCTTGATATGCTTGGCTGGACTGACTAGCAACACCTTGGGATGTGGACGATGACACACTTGCATATGGGGATGAAGACCCAGGGATAAACTGACTAGCAGCATCTTGAGGCCGAGATGATCCACCATAAGCAGTGCTTCCCAGCAGGGTGAAGCAAGTGGAGGACCCTGCCTGGGTGCCAGAGCTGCCTGTGAAGGTAGAGGTAAACTGCTTCCGAGAATCCTGAACAGTAGTAGATGGACCAGCTTGTGGTAAGGACAGTGATACACTTGCATAGGAGGATTTAGATCCAGGGGCAAATTGACTTGCAGGATCTTGAGACTGGACCAAACCACTGTAAAGGCCATTCTCTCTTTCTGGGGCAAAACCAGTAGAAGCTCCAAATTGAGGCCCAGAGCTGCCTCTATATACAGAAGTAAACCGCTTCCGTGAACCGTACTAGGACTAGCAACAGCTTGGGGTGAGGACAGGGACACACTTGCATAGGGGGATTGAGGTCCAGGGGCAAACTGACTTGTGGAATCTTGAGGTTGACGTGATCCACCATAAGCGGTGCTTCTCTGCAGAGTGAAGGGAGTAGAGGACCCTGCCTGGGTGCCAGAGCTGCCCGTGAAGGTAGAAGCAAGTTGATTCAGAGAAGCCGGAACAGTAGTAGATGGACCCGCTTGGGGTGAGGACAATGACACACTTGCATATGGGGATGAAGACCCAGGGACAAATTGACTAGCAGCATCTTGAAGTGGAGATGATCCACCATAAGCAGTGCTTCCCAGCAGGGTGAAGGGAGTAGAGGACCCAGCCTGGATGCCAGAGCTGCCTGTGAAGGTAGAGGAAAACTGCTTCCGTGAACTCTGAAGCGTAGTAGGACCAGCAACAGTTTGGGGTGAGGACACTGATAAACTTGCATAGGAGGGTTTAGATCCAGGGGCAAACTGACTGTAGGTATCTTGAGACTGGACAGAACCACTGTAACGGCTACTCATGCTTACGGGTGCAAAACCAGTGGAGGCCCCAAACTGAGAGCTGCCCTGGGAGGCAGAGCTAAACCACTTCCGTGAACTAGATTGACTGGCAACACCTAGTGGTGATGACAAACCTGGACAGGAGGTTGGCAACCCAGGGTTAAACTGGCTAGCAGTATCTTGAAGCGGAGATGATCCACCATAAGCGGTGCGATGCAGGGTGAAAGGAGTAGAGGACGCAGCCTGGGTGCCAGAGCTGCCTGTGAAGGTAGAGGTAAGGTGCTTCAGAGAAGCCTGAACAGTAGTAGACTGACTGGCAACACCTTGGGATTTGGATGATACACTTGGATAAGAGCGAGACACAGGGGCAAACTGACTTGCAGTATCTATAGGCTGTGGTGATCCATCGTAAGTGACACTTCCTTGCAGGGTGAAGGGGGTAGAAGACGCTGACTGGGTGCCATAGCTAGAGGTAAAACACTCATGTGAACAGTAGTAGTCTGATGGTCTACATCTAGGGGAGACAATGCACACTTGCAATATAAACTTGAGGTACCTTGAGACTGGACAGAACCACTGGAAGAGCTGCTTATTCCCTGCGAGGCCCCAAACTGAGGCCCGGAGATGCCCTGGGAGGCCGAGAGATATTGCTTATTGGAACTCAAGACACTGGCGGACCAACTAGAAGTGCTTTGGGGTGAAGAAATGGGCTTGGAGTAGCCAAGAGCATATAGTTCCCTGCCGGAGATGGAAACTGACCAGAAGCTCCCATTTGAGACCAAGCACCAACTTGTGAAACTGCTCTATAGGAAATCCTGCTACTTGTGGGACCACTTACTTATTTGGTAGGGGATCCAGGAGTATACTGACCCAGAGTGCCCTGAGGATTGAGAAACTAGTAGAGCTACTACCTCCTTGTACAGGGACATAACGACTAGAAGTCGCTAACTGCATGCCAGACCTGCTCTGGGTGTTTGACATAGAAACAATAGGTGAACTTTGAGCATTTGTGGACTGGCTAGAAACCCCTAGGGGTAAAGCATCAAGCTTGTTAGACATCAGGGATCCTGGAGTATACAGACTAGAGGCAGTGAGAGACTGGGACACACCACTGGAACCGTCACTCCCTACATGTGTGGGGACAGATTGGACAGAACTTGCAGACAATTCAGCCCCAGAGCTGCCCTGAGAAGTGGCAGAGCCTTGAGCCTGGCTACTGTAAGAGACACTGCCCTGAGTGTATGGAGATGCAGCAGCATCTGTTGACTTTGAATCAGAACTGCTCTGAGGGCTAACTACATGCAGACTAGGGCAGCTTTGACCACTAGTATACTGGTTAGATACCACCAAGGGCAGAAGCTGACTGGGTGTCTCAAGAGCACTAAGCCCCGTCACTTTCTCTAGAAAGGAAGAACCAGAAGCTAAAAATGTGCCAGAACTATCCTGAGAGCCTGAACTGAACAGACTGGGGGAGCTCTGGTCACCAGAGGACTGGTGAGAAATGGTTGAAGAATTGAGCTTGGTACTGGAGTCTGAGGTATACGGACTAGAGGCACCTTGAGACAAACCACTGTAACTACCTTCACCCTGAGAAGACACCGGTTGACCTGAGTTTTCTGAAAGTAGTACAGGGCTACTTTGAGAAGTGGAAGTGGTACCTGGAGCAGATGAACTGCTGTAAGAGATACTCTGAGAGAACACCGGCAAAGAGGCTTCTGCTGATTGATGAACCGAGGTTTCCTGGGAGCTGAACACATGCAAACCATCACCAGTGGACTGGCCAGAAACGCCAAGCTTGGCAGGGTAGCTACTACTCTCGCCTTGTATAGAAACAAGGTGTCCAGAACCACTTGCAGCATACTGGGTCTCCAAACTCAATCCACTAGCAACACCTGGAATGGTTGATCCAGAGGACATCAAACTGCTTGAAGGCTGTTGAACTGGGGGCAGAGGTAAGGAAGCCAAGGCATAGCTGCTTGGAGCAGTCTGGGCATGGGACACTGACTGATAGCTACTAGAACCACCTTTGACAAACTGGAGTAGATTCAACTTTGACCTGCTTTTCAAGGGTTTGTTAGGGAACAAAGTAAAGCCCACTTCTTCAACAGGCAAAGTCCCAATCACACGGGCCTCTGACATAGAAGACTGGACCGCACGAGGTGAGAAAGTGTCAGAAGGCTGACCCCACTGATGTGCATTGGAATAAGCGCCCACTATAGAAATCAAACAGAACAAAGACGGTAATACACAAGCCCTAATAAACAAGCTTTCTTGCA